GACAGTCGAAGCTGTCTGCGTGAATTCAGCAGGTACTGTCCATCCGCATTTTCCAAAGCTCCCGGACTATCTCAAAGTTGAGCTGTTGCGTTACAGCGCCTTCCTGCCAAGAGCTTGTGCGTGGAAACCCCCGCAAGTCATGCCAGCTTTGACACGTCTTGGACTTTGAATCCTCGAAGGGAAGAATTATCTCGGCTTGCCAAATGGAATGGCGCGCCTCCGATGCCCTTTGCATCTTAGGGAATTTGCACGCTGGTCAATGAGTTTTGGGGCGGCTTGAGGTCGCCAGAGACGACGTGCGCCAGCTTAAATCCGGCGTTGTGATCGAGAGCCAAACAGACAGTTTACTTGCTTGATTTGTTTACTATGTTTCATTGCATGACGCTTAGGCTTAATTGCCAGATCATAGTACTGCCTTGCAAGAAACATGGCTTGCTTCCGAGTACTTTACGAGGTCACTTCATCATCAATCAAATTTAGATATATGGCATAAGGCCTCATGGGCCGTTTTCTCCCATGGCCCGTGGCACACTTCGTGGGGGAAGTGCCATTTTAGGCCTATGCAATGCCACCTGAAAGTTAGAGCCTCGCTCCCTCCACTCGAATGTCGCAGGCAAGAAATTCCGAGGGGTCCTGGTGTCTCTGTTTTTGGGAGACTTGTGCCCTTTTTGGCTCATTCACAAGTGCCTTGAATCACCTCCCCTTCTCGGAAGGGGGGGTACATACAAGTTGTTGGACTCCCGCAAATATCAGACCCCCAAAACAAACGTACAGCTGGGTGACCCCCCAGTTGGGGGGGGGTTGGTCACCTTGATCTCTTCAGCATCAACTTCGGGACACTCTGAAGGGACGTTCATGCTTCATTCCGGGGTACGATGCCATGATGCTATACTGGCAATGCGACAATGCACCCGAGGCATGCGCTTTAACCAGGTATACCGTGACTGCCACCAACGAGTCTGGGAGCATTGACACGACTTTCACTTTTCAGGCAGGAGCCGCAAAACTGCTTTGAGAAGGAACAGGGGATTGCAGTGGTTTGGAACAACTCACTCGTGGAAAATACCTGAAAGCAGGCAGACAGCACACCAAGCTGTGGTTTGATTCAGTTCGGCAGGTGGAGGAAACCCAGACTGTTGACGCTGAAGCCATCGATCAGAACTTTGCCGCTAAGCTTGAGGACCGAGGGGTTGGGCACAGGGCAATGTGGATTGCTGGCGCCTGGAACTTGTTCGGCATTTGAGGGTTGCCTTACGGGCTCAACGGATTTCTTTGGTGTTCCTCTCAAGCGCGTGAACACTGAGGATCCAGGTACACCTATTCCTGAACTTATCTGTTTTCAAGGCTGTAGTCTGCCTTCACCGGGTCGGGCTGTTCTTCCAAAAGGGCCGTACACCAACTAGTCCAGGGGCATGTCTCCTCCTTTCCCAATGCTCTGTCTGATTTGGCAAGTCCCAACCTGTGACTGGCAGGAAATCGACGACCTCGCCGATTTGAACGCGGTGGAAGAACCTTCGAAGGCGCAGAGCGACCCAATTTTGCAGTTTATGCACTCTTTGGGTGAAGCCAAACATTTTGGAACTGTTGGATTCATGTGGGCTCAATGTTTGTTGCGCTTGGATACAGAGGTACCGCAGAGCTTACCCAATCGAGCTTGTGCGCCTCGTGGTAAGCTGAATGAATGTGCTTGCTGCCACTCTGCCAAAATCCTTTCGCAACGGTTGAGGATAAGCGTACCCCAAGCGTGCATACTCTCTTGTTTTCCCCGATCTCTCTCCCTCTCTCTTGCGTCGAAAATCAGCTGGTGAGTTTTGCATCAGGTGAAGTCGTTCGGCGACTGGTGCGCCTCTACCGGGGGGGCTGCACTAGTGGTTTGCTGTGCTGCTTTGCCATGGCATGCACATCGGAAGCTTGCATGAACTGGATGCCTGAGATTCGCGGGACTTTTGCTTGACAGCTGGAAACAGGCGATTGCATCTAACCTGCCATTCTGGTTGCAGTGGACTCCGGGAGTGGCCCGCCCCCGGAGTGCCAATGATTGAGGTTTCATGGCGGATTGACACTAGGATACCACGAGCAACCGACCAATTGCTTGCCGATTTTCAGGATTCTGCAAGCTTGGTGTGCTCAGACTTAGGCACATGGGGTTCCCACATTGGACAAGGATCTTCTCGAGATGGATGGCGCATACCGTGACTCAATGGAAGCCAGACAGGATGATATGGATGGTTCACCGTGCGCACCTGAACGACCGGGGCTCAGAGTTTGGCCAAGTCCCAGACCTTGGAACCGGAGACCCTTGAGATGTGTCAGATGCTCACAGCGCGACTCAAACGCCAGCGACTCAAACTTGACACGGCGTGTCTATGAAAAGTGCGCCGGCCCGATGCAGTGAAGATGTACAATTTGTACGCTGGAGTCATACGCTTGTAACAGAGTGATCTTAGACGCCTCAAGTGGGGCGCAATCGCAGGTATTAGGCACCGTTCACTTGGATTGTGCTTCGTTCCTCAGTTATTCTGCACTGTGGCTGCCGGGGAATTTGGGTATGCCAAGAGTAGGGTGATATGGATGATTCGGGCCAGGCAATGTTCCGAGACAAACTGTCTCTCCCAGAGCGCAGCTGGTACATTTAAAGTGAGTGTTTGCAACTGATCCGCAACTGGTTGGCTTCTGGAGTGAAGACGAGAAAGACACGCGCTAGTCCGCATGCTTCTGACATTTCCGGTCTAAGGATCCAACCCTGACGGACTTCAACTTCAACAACCTTCATATGCCGCCGCCGCATATGGAGGCCGCACTGACTCGGGCTCACCCTGAACTCTCAAGAACGCGTAAGATGCTGAGGGACGATTCATGGAGCTTCGGAGATTGAGCCCTTTCCACAATGCCTCATGGGCGCCCGTCAATCATCAGGAGGGGATTCGGTAAACATGGGACCCTGAGTGTTTGAGCTTCAAGACTTTTTTGTAGTCAAGCGGTGAGAAAGATTGGCAGGCAACGCGCTGATGTTTCATATCAAGAGTACAGGGCCAGCTGAACACATGAAGGAAAGACATAGGCTCATATAGGCACTTTTAGAAATGTGGATAATGCAGCATTATCACTTTCAGCTTTCTGCTATGGCAACCTGCAGTGGCCACACGGGCGAGTCCGCTTGTCCTGTGAGCTAGATGTACTTGGTTTTGCCGCTGTTTGAACATTCTAGACTGATACGGACATTTTATTAGAATTGAGGGACGACCTCGACCTGGATAGCTTGAATTGGATTGGGAAGATGGGATAGGATAGGACGGGAGGCAATGCAACGGCCTGCGATGATATGGCTAGTTGTTTGGATGACATCGGATGGGATAAAGTCTAGCATCATGCATTCGTTCCCTCCTGGCATCTTTCTCTTTGGTTGTGGGATCCCATTTTTGCCTCACCCATGAACCGCACTTTCCCGGCGAGGAAAGGATCGCGCCGAAGCTGGTCAAAGCGCGGTCTCCCAGTCATGGGCCGCAGGCCATGTGTCACATCGCTCGGAGGGCCTCGGGCTGGGGACTGGGATTCGAATTCGGAAATTCGGAAAAGCTTCAAATTCGGGACCCGGACAGCTTCCCTCCACTTGGCTCGGCCACTTCCGAGCCGAAGCCAGTTGCTTCAGGCGATGGCGCACAACACCCACATCACAACCCTGTCGCTGGTAAACTCAAACCTGCACAAGGCGCGGATATTGCTTGAAAGCGCAATGGCCAAGCAGTAGACAGATTAACGTCATGATTCATGATCGTCATTTTCCGATGCGTTTGTGTAGGGCACCAGAGAAATATGCCGGCGCCTTTCCGTACCACCGACTCATCAAGCCTAGCAGACGCCAACTGAGCATCTAGCGTCGCAGGGTGAAGGGTGCCTGCTCGCGGAATCCTTGAAGTCGAAACTTGGCTGCAGATGAAAGTTGCCTGTGCGAGATCTTCTGTAGAGCAGGTGTCATTTCTCAAGACAAGAGACTCAAGGGGAGCCAGTCACGGGGACAACTTTTGCATCCCATTTGCAGGTACCATCAGTTTGAGACACGCCCTCATCAACCTGGTGCCATATCACTTGGGAGCCGAGACTCCCGTGCCAAAGGTTGTGAAACGAGCCTGTCCTTGCAACTCTGACCACATGTCTTGCCAGTGCGCTGTCAAGGAACAACACCGTCTTGCACGTGAACTTGGAGCCCGGCTCTTGGAGACATTCGGGAATTTTCGATGTCAGACGGATGAGTCTCCAGACGACCAGCATCGCTTGCTCCGCTTGGTATCTGCACATTTCAGAAGCAACGGATCATGTTGTTTAGTTGAACTACAGTTGGCGCGAATGCAATCCATCTTTGGCTTAAATGAAGTTGCATTGTGATGAGGTACTGGGAGTAAAGACTAAAGAGATGCCGTGCAAGAGTTCTCGAATATCAGGGGAGATAGTGCACCTGTGCTATTTGGCTTCGGAACCGTGTTGGTGGCGGCAGTAAGAGGCTGCTTTTTGGCCCCCCAAGAAAAGCCGACGTACAAGGTTCATTCTTTCACGCACGCTTCTCATAGTACCGCGAATGTATGCATTAAAGCCGGCCGAAGCAGGGTTGGAGGGAGGATTGGCATGACCGGCTAAGTCGCAAGGCGGTTGAAACAGCCTGTCCTGTGTAGTTTATTGTAGCTTGTGCTCGATATTTGAGGAATCCACAGTGTACGTGAATCGTGGCTTGATTTGGTCTATGTTTCTCTGCAGTTCAGAGAGAGTGTTTGAGCTACAGATCTTGGGTTCAAAAGGCTGTGGGTCTACAAGCAACCCAGAAATACAGCACCAAGATGCGTGCTATCCCACAAAGATGTTGGAATAACTGGCCGCCTGGGACAAGACGTTGTTGTTGGTGGAACATGCACAAGCAGGGGCCCGAACCAGCGAGATCTATTGCAGCTTTCGAAGGATAATTTGTTGGGCTGCACCAAACACAATCGCAAACCTCATGATTCCTTTGCGCTGGCACGGGACATCCTGCACACATACTCAGCGTCACACGCCCATGCAGTCAAAGCCCAAAGCCAGGCTTGCCATGGATTGGTGAGCACGGCCTCACATGGTCTGGGCTCATCGGGTGCCGCGCGCGGACGAGAGTGATGACACCAGATTCCATGCAGCCTCCCAGCACCTTGAGGAGGAGAGAAGAAGGCTGCTGGTGGATGCGCAGGCCAAGCAGCAGGAGCAGACAGCCCTGGAGGTGGAAGTGAAGCGGCTAAGGAAGGAGCTGGAGCTCCAGCGCTCGGAGACGAATGAGCAGACCCGCTTCCTGCGGGAGCGTTTAGAGCATCAGCGCCGGGAAGGGGCGACTTTGGAGCTGGAGATTCTCAAGGCGCAGATCGGGGTGTCCGATCGGAGCGAGGAGTCCAAGGAGGTGAAGCACGAGGTGGAGTGCAAGACCCAGGAGATCCTGAAGGCGATGCAGCTGCTGTCCGATCAGCAGAGAAGCACCTTCCAGCACGTCTCCACCCTCACTTCCGACATGCTCCGGGCCTGTTCGAGAACTCAAGGCGATGAGTCAAGAGGTGCAAGCCATCGGTCGCTCACCATGCAGCGCCAACCCTCGCCGCAGCCGGCAGCGCCACCAGCGCCAACGACACAACCGGCTCCCCACACGCCGATGCAGGCGGTGTCGCCTTCCGGGGCGGCGTTGGAGGAGGGCTCGCTGCCGTGGTTTCAGGGGATGAAAGCCAATCTGGAGGAGTTTGGAGACGTGGAGGTCTTCCTGGATCAGCAGGCGCAGGAGTGCATGAGCTGCTGCCAAGCCATCGAGGCCGCCTATCGCGCACGGCCCCGGAAGTGCAGCCATGTCTTCCACGTGGAGTGCCTCCTGCACTGCTGGAGTGAAGGCATTTGCCCCGTGTGTGGCACCTCCTTTGCCCCCGAGGCGTGACTGGCCAAAAGCTGCGCAGCACCTTGGGTGGACGTGTAGGCAAGGCGCGACGGGGACTCCGTCGAGGCAGCGCGAAGTGAAGAAAATCTCAGCGTCACAAGAGCCTGGCAAGTTGGATCCGAGTTTCCACTTTTTGCATGCGAACCCCTAGTGTCATGGACCTTGGGGCATTGTTTCCTCTACAATCTGTATGGGATATTCCAAGACACCGAAGCCGTTGACACTTGATGCAGACACTACAGGAACAACTGCCTTGACTCTGCGGCAGTGAGGAATATTGTCGCGCTCTCAGGTTTTGCCACGACTCCACCGTGGCGACACATTGCATCTAGGAATTGACATGTGAAGGCAAAGATGTCAGTAGATCCTTTCGCAAAGCACTTGAGGCCGAGTGCATCGCGCAGAACTCGGACAGGCCGGAACTCTGTTTGGGTAGTGTGGTAACATGACTGGGACAAACGGGGTGGGGGGTTTTGGGCAACCTCAGAAGAGTTGCTCCACTGATTGAGTGACCTCTCAGGGCTTGCTTTGTGACAACAAATACTAAGCACACCTCATGCGTCTTAAAAAAGTCTTCTCCGAAGCTCCGTGTCAACCTGAGCAAGCATCAAATCGGATCTCCGCCACATGCCACATGCTGCAAACGGACAGGTCTTGCAGTCACCGCGTATTCTCCGCAGAAATGAACATATGACTCACATGCAAGTGTTGACAAGACGGAGCCGCATTTTGAGTGTGCACCTACTTTCCGTCTCCGGTCGCGAGATGCGACGACTTCTTTACCACACCAGATCCCCCCGCTTGGCACAGATTCTGACAGAAGACTCTTACATACGCCGGAGCTTCTCAACGGCAACCATTCTGAGCGACCTGGGCCTGGAGCCCTTCTCGGGCTGCGGAAAAAACACCTCCGCGCCAGCAAGCTGGAGTCGCTGCGGGTGGCTCAGCAGAAGCAGGTGGGCAACAGCTTCGGCCGGCAGCGCCCTGAGTGTTTCAAGTCGCGGGAGTGATGGGTCAAAATCAAGCCAGGATGACCGCAGGTTTTGGTCCTTGGCAACCCATTTAGGGCAACCCATTTAGGGCAACCCATTTGGGGGGTACCGATTTTTGACCCACAGCCATTGGGTGTGCGAAGGAAGGCGCCCCTTGTCATAGGCATTTGCCTTTGAACGTAGCCTTTCTGGAGCGGCCTTAGGGGATCAAGGGGGTGTACTGGGATTGAGTTCCTTTGTAGGGATGTGGTAAGGGAAGAACTCCTGGAATTCGCCGGGTGGACTGGACTGAGATATGTGTAGCCGCTACTTCCAGGTTTAGGAGTAGCTCTAGACTATCTCAAGAGAAATCCTTTGGCAGGCATAAGCCATGGGTGCGATGGTTCTCCTACACACCTTTTGGTGGCTTGGCGATACTCCCAGGTTCACTAGAGGCGCTTTGAGGATTGTTGGTATCCCCTCCATGGCACCATTCCCATTGGAGAGGAACACACGTGCCCAGAGCAGTTTCTTTTTCTTAGCGCACGTGGCACATCAATGACAGGGAAGGATTTGGCTTTTCTTCCATTTGCTTTAGATATTTACTTTCTTTACTTCCCCTGTTGGTTGTTTAAAGGGAATCGATCACGGCTGGTCATGTTTTCGATTTTGCGTCCGGGAGACTTGGGCAAGTGGAGTTCCAAAAGTCGTTTCGCTTGAGGCCGGTGGAGGAGGCCTTCGGACAGCTCCTGGAGAAGAACGAGAGGCTGCTGAGGCCATTCGCTCCCTTGAAATCGCCCAGAAAACGTGGGCTGGCGCGAAATCGGCAGGGAACGAGAAATGGAAGGACCCCGATTTGAACCATCCCTTTGTGGCTTCCTTTAAGGGAATTTGTGGGTTCATTCCCTCATTCCCTGCTGAGCAGCAAGAAAAGGAATAAACCAGAAGAAATGGAACTAAGATACAGGCACCAACATTCTAAGATACCAAGATTTAGTTTTGTTTGCCAGGCATCCCACCTCTCATTCCCTAAGGGTCCCTCTTGCATCCCCCCTGTCTTGACTACTTGGCGGGCTACCTGGAGCAGCAGTTCACAGGGAGGGAGGGAGGGAGGGAGGGTTTAAACATAGGCACCGCTGAAAAGCGGGTAGCGCTGAAAAGCGCACCATTTTTTTCTGGGCACATGGTAAAGATGACCAAGCAGGCCTGGCCAGAGAGGGAGGATGGTCATGGGGCACTTTAGCCTGCACCAAGACTGCAATATTCAATGGCCTAGTGGTCAATATATATCCCTGCTTTGCTTCAGAACTGTAACAACTGCAAAGCACTATGCATAGAGGGCACAGCCATTGAGAAAATGCATGTGGGGCTACGTGTGCTGACCATGACCCTAAGTTTCATGCCCTGTTGCACACCCGTGCACCAAACCACACTGCAGCCACAATGTGTTTGCACACAGACGCTTGCAGCCAAAGAAGTTGCCATTTGACTGTTTGGGGCAGCTGGGCACTAAGGCTCAAGCCCTGCACTGAGGTTCACTAAGGCCCCAGCAGAGCGGAGCCTGCTGCAAGATAAGGTGCAGACACTAAGGCCCAGGCATCTAAGGCCCTCACTTCAGGGTGACACAGGCCTGGCAGGCAAAGAGGCAATGTTGCCACTCACTAGGGCGCAGTCACATTGTGGGGTTGTAAGCCTGCCAAGGCATGGACTCCATGCCTTGGATTTTCCTATCACTGTAGGGGTTGGGAACAAGTAAGACAAAGGCCAGAGGCTTAAAGGATGTTCAAGGCAAGTTTTCGCAGTTCACCCCAGCCCTTGTCAGACACTAGGGAGGGCCCCACTGACTTTTGAAGGTGTTGACCGATTGGAGGCTGGGGTTCTGCCAGCCAATGTTGCACTTTCGCCAGGACAACTGTTCAGCTTTGATGCTCCTTGATGGGATTGTCAAATTTGAACACCAATTACACACTAAACATTAATGCCAGAAACCTTGAAGACATCATGCAAGGGGGAGGGCAAACCTTCAATCAACCAAGTGGCGCAAAACATCTAATTTCCAAACAGCTCCATTGGGCAGGAAATTCGTTCAGCACCAGACCAATAAATGCTCCAGTCCCCCTCCCTGCCCCCCAGCTGCAAGCCATGCGCGTCAGCCCCAAAGCCCCAAGTGCATGTGCTGCATCGGTTGACCCTGATGAGTGCTGCCCGCAGGTGGGCTCTTCAATTGCAACGCAAGGAGAAGCCCATTGATAACACAGCGCAAACAGACATGTACACAGTGACCTTGAGCCTAAACAGGCGCAACTGAGCTGCTCAGCAAAGGCCACGCACGGCACATGCAACCACACATGGGTAACACACACACACACAAACACCCACCGCTTCACAAGCTTTTTTCCAGAACGGCGCCAGGTAGCCAAGTTCAAGCTAGCCTGCAGGCCTGTAGGCCTGCAATGCTGGCTTCACTTCTTAGACATCTCAGGCTTCTTGGCATTTGATGGCTGGCTCTTGGAAGAAGAGCTCTGCTCCTGCTTCTCCTGCAAGTCCATGATCTGAAAGTGCAAGTCTGCATTCTCAATGCAGAGGGCGTCCTTTTCCTGCGGTCAAGTCAGGGGTAGCAACTGCCAGGCCCATGGTCATGCTTGGTCAACCCTGCCTGGTTGCACTTGTCATAGACCCGCTTCCACATCCCCTGGTGCTTCTCCAGAACAACGTCCCTGCCCTTCTTGATCTTCTCAGTCTCTTGCTCAGCCTTGGCACGGAGGCACGTTTCCTCCATCAGATCATTCGCAACGTGCTTGAGTGCAGAGTTCAGCTCCTTCACATCATTCTTCAAGATGCCAATTTTCTTGTTGGAGGTTGCAGCCTCCTCTGTGGCCACCTTGACAGCCTTCTTGAGTGTTCTGACACCTTGCCGCTTCTCATACGAAAGCCCTCTCTGTTGGGGCATTGCCTGCAAGCTGTCTGGACTGCAAGCCTGCTGGCCTGCATGCTGTGCTGTGCTGTGAGCCAAAAACTCATGGCAGTTCACATTGGGCATGCAAAGGTGCCCACCCACGGCAGGCACATCATTCCACTGGCTGGCCATTCGTTCAACATTATCATTTCGGTATGCGCACACAATTACCCAGTACAGTAGCAGGCTCAACAAGACAACAATTTGTTTTCCTCTCAAACTGACATCCTCACAGCCGACCAGCAGATTGGCTTCCCCAAAGCACCTGGGCATGGCTGAGCGCAGAAGACACAACTTTTCAAGGATACCCAAAGGCTAGACACAACTGGCAGACAGCCCACAGACACCACAGCTTCAAGAATCCAGGGGTTGTCTCTTTGTGGCAAAAATATAATGAATCGAGCTTCACAATGTTAAACAGTCACCCCCTCAAAATAGCAGTGTGTCACACATTACAGTGGCACGCAAGTCCGGCCCCTCACCTGGTGCGCCCATGGTGGGTGTCTACTTCAAAGCATGGCAGCTGTCATTAAAGGCATCCTGGAACTGCTTTTTGGGTTGTTACTCTCTTTGGTTTTGCCTGACCAGCATCATTGCATTCACAATTTTGGATGGGCCATTTCTCCAAGTGCAGGCAGTGCTGAGCCACTCCAAGGCCAACACACATGCCTTCACTTTGGGGAAAGAACTTCAAAAGAACGAGTGCGGGCATTTTCCCCTGGCAAGCCTTGGATTTTGGGTGGACCATGCCATGGATGCCCCATGCCATGGATGCCATGGCATGGACAGGGCTGTTGGGATTTTGGGCACCTTCCAAACCCTGAAAAATTGGCGCACACACACACAAAGCCCAGGGTTATGGACATGAAAGCAGCCACTGAGGCCATGGCAATCTGGAGACATCACCTGGCAGACATGGGATCGCAAGACCCGAAAGGAGAAGTGCCTTTTCAATATGAAAAGAATCTCGTCTCTCTTTTTCTGGCATGCTCAGCAAAAATATCGCATGGCTATCAAAAGAAGTAGGCAGCAAACTGCGACGCAGTAGTGGAGACATGCGATGTCCCAGGACAAGTTCCTCACCAAAAGCCTGGTCTCATGCAACTCCTCTTGGGTGGCCTCAAGGGTGCGCCTCATGGGTCCAAGGCAGGT